AGCCCAGCACACCTGCCTTCTGATCGCCAGTCTTTATTGGGTCGATTATTGGGGTCATCTTGATGGGTCTTCCTCTTTTTTCTTTCTTTTTTTTTTTTTTTTTTTGGTTTTTTCAAGACAGGGTTTCTCTGTGTAGTCCTGGCTGTCCTGGAACTCACTCTGTAGACCAGGCTGGCCTTGAACTCAGAAATCCTCCTGCCTCTGCCTCCCAAGTGCTGGGATTAAAGGCGTGCACCACCACCGCCCGGCTGGGTCTTCCTCTTTTTGATTGGAAAGCATTCCCAAACAGAATCCCAGACACGAAAATCATGCTTCATGGAGTCCCCGCGGGCCTTGGTGTCCACAGTACCTCATTGCTTAGGAGACATCCATAGGGAGCGAGCCCAAACCTGCACATAGCTCTTTGCAAAACCATAACATTTACAAGTTTGCCTTGTTAACTCAGGACATTGAGGTACTCTCCAATCTAGTCAAAAGGGCAGACTGTCAGTCTGAACAGTGAACTCGACAAAGGAGTCTCACAAGAGCCACCTCCAAAGGATTCTCCAGCCCTTTACAGGTTTGTCCCTTTATCCTGAAATTTTGCAGACAACTAGCTCCTGAAAATAGTGAATAAACTAACTCAACCTGGTTTCCCCTAATCAGCTGTGAGTCAGAGAGAACAAAAGACAGACAGAGTGACCAAGGACCACTATGGAAATATACTGTCCTGGAAGTCACACAGCAGCCGGACGTGGCAGAGTGGCTGGGAAAACACCTGCTGAATTTACTCAAACACCAGTAACCCACTGGGCTTACTGGAGTCGTTGGAGCCTCTGCTGGGCTCCCAGGACATAAGAGAGCATATCGTGGAACTCACAGACGGAGAGAGGCCTGCAGTGAGGAAAGTGGACAGTCTTGGAGCAAGCTCCCTGTGGCTGGTCACCGGCAGTCTGTCATTAAAGTCTCGCTTAGCAAGCCTCTGGTACAGTGCCTGGCTCTATCCATGTGGGCGATGAATTGAGTTGTCTCTAGCAGCAGCAAGTCCAAGTTGCTCAGAAGAGGATCAGCTTCCTCGATGAGCATACTACCTGACCCTACTATATGACCATCTCAGGGGCTGTTTCTTCAGTTCTCCCAGGGGCAGCGCCATATAGCTAATACCACCCTAAAGCTATGGATCGAGACATAGGTTCATTATTAACAGCAGCTGTCCTAAAATTTTATGCCTTAATCATCCCTGGAAGGCCAGCCAAGAAGTACTGGAGGATGGACATATAGTTCAGAAAGTAGAGGTATTGCCTAACATACACAAAGTCCTGGGTTCAACCCCCAGATCCCCAGCACTGCAGGAAGGTGGTTTGGCAACATCCAGTGTTTGGCTGTGGAAGCAGAAGGATCAGAACTCCAAAGTCATCGTCCTTGTTTACATAGCAAATTCAAGGCCAGCCTGGGCTATATGAGATCATGTCCTAATATGGAAAAAGGAAGGTGGGAAGGGGCCAGAGAATACCTCAGCAGTTAAGAATGCTTGCTGTGTAATCACGTGGACTAGAGTTTGGATCGCTGCGTTTACATGAGAAGCCAGACATCTGGCTCATACCTGTAACTCCAGCAGGGCAGTCAGGAGGCTCACTAGGGTTAAGTTCAGAGAGAGCCTGCCTGAAAGAAATAGATGTAAAGTCACTGGGAATGATACCCAACAACCTCTTCTGGCTGTAGGCTTGCATACACACACATTCACACAGGAACACAAAGGAGTAGAGGAAGGATGGAAGGAAGGAGGAAGGGATGGAGGGATGAAGGGAGGGAACAAAGGAAGGGCAGGCAGGCAGATAGGCTATTTGTATGTTTAATAAACACCCATATAGGGTTTACAGGCATTTTTCTAAGCCCGCATCTCCAAGTGGGTATTCATGACCCACATGTGTAACTGAGCACTTTAAATGCCTCTTGCATATTGAGATGCTCTCTGAGTGTAAGAGGCTCCTAGGTTTTTGTTTGTTTGTTTGTTTGAAGATTTAGGGTGGTAGGAAATGTGAACAAGACCATCAGTAATTCTAAGATTACAAAGGCAGAGCGTTTAAATCCTTCTCCCTGTGAAGGCCTGGAGAGTGAATGTTTTCACTCTCGTGAGCCATCTGGTCCCTCTCATACAGACGTTGAACCATGCTGCTATCAGGTAGAAGCAGACCGAAAGCACTGGAAAGCACTGGGCAGAGCTGTGTTCCCATAAAACAACAAAAACCAAACCCAAAGGCAGGAGACCTAGATCTGATCCACACACGCTGATCCTCGGGTTTCCATTTCTAAAATACATTATTCTATTTATTTACTTCTACTTTTCAAAAATATGGCTGCTAGATAATTTCAAGCTGTATGTTGGCTGGTGATATGTCTGTTTTAGACACGTCTAATCTGGACAGTAACTGATGAAGACTGCTTGTGAGAGCATGTGTGTGTCTATGTACAAAACAAAATGTGTGAATTTCCACGACAGCCTAGAACCGGTCACAAGTGATGTCTGATGCTATCCACATTCTATAGATAAGAAGTCAAATAACTCTCCCAGTGTCACACAGAGAATATAGAGCCCAGAGCATGACAGCCTAGAGAGGGTTCCCTACACCTACTCTAGCATGGAGTCCTGACACAAAGGGCACTGGCTGCTTCCTAGATCGTCCTCCTTAATTACCTTGTTATTTTATTTATTTTTATTTTATGTGCTTTGGTCTTTTGCCTGCATGTATGTCTGTGTGAGGGTGTCAGATCTTCGAGTTACAGACCATTGTGAGCTGCCCTGTGGGTGCTAGGACTTGAACCCTAAACAGAAGTTCCCAGAAAAGTCACCAGGTGGCGATAGAAGACCATGTATGCTGGTCTTGGCCCAGCATTTCCCTGTTGGACCTGAACTTGGGTTTCCTCACCAGTAGCAGAGGATGCTCAGGAGAACATGACCTTTGGAGGAACACAGACCTATATTTGACTTTGGTTCTGCTAGCAAAGGTAAGTAGGTATCCTGTTAGGACTCTCCTGGGCCCTAGCTATATTTCCATTCCTAGGTCCATTCTTCTATCAAAAAAAGTTGAAAAATTATATTTTATATCTATGTAGGTTACAAATAAAACATTAGCATTGTATAATATATTTTTCTTCAACTAAAAATTTATCACTTCTGTGACCCCCTAAAATGATTGGGTTCCCCAGTACCAGCCCAGAAACTGTCTCTACCTGTCCTAGTAAATGATCAGCTCCGGGCTCCGTCTTCTCTAGCTGTGTGATCTTGGGGAAGTCCTTTGACTTCTCAACTATACAATGTGGATAGCATCAGCCATCACTTGTGATCAGAATCCCATGAGAAGGTTAAGGCTACAACTTTTTACACTGATATTCTAATTTTTATTACATTTATTTATTGGGAGGGGGTGTTCACATGTGGAGAGGTCCAGGGATAACCTGAAGGACTGGGTTCTTCCCTCCCACCATGTCCATTCTGGGGATCAAATTCAAGTTGTCAGAGTTGGCAAGAAATGTCTTTACCCTCTGAGCCATCCTGCCTGCCCAGACAACACATTTTTAGGGCACAGCCTAGGGGCAGGGGCTGTGGCCCAGCAAGTAGAGTGCTTGTCTAGCACACACAACGTGCTTGCTTAGTTTTATCTCCAGCACTGCATGAAACCTTGAGTGGTGGCCGGCATCTATAATGCTGGCATTCATCAGGTGGGAAGGTGGAAACAGGAGGGTCAGAAGTTCAAGGCCATCCTCAGCTACATAGCTGAGTTTGAGACCAATCTGAGACACATGGAACATTTTCTCAAAAAGAAAGGAGAGAAGGATGGGAAGGTAGGATAAAAGGAGGTCCCTTAGCCTAGTGACTGGGATGTACAGGAGGATTATGCAATGCTCAGTCATGAAGAGTAAAAATAACTCCTCTGCCTGTCTGAGTTTGGCAGTGACAGCTTGCAGAGACACCCATTTGTGACTCTAACCTGCCACTGGGCAGAGACAAAAGAACATGTAGTCTGGGTCAAAACTTCAGGGTGTCCAGACCCATTGACCCCCAAGGCAGAGGCATGGGAAGGACCTTTTGATGTCCAGTCCACCTCTTTCCTGTCTCCCTGTTAGCGGGTCCCAAGCCCATCGCCCAGGGTTCCTGTCCTAGCCACACCAGCCAGGGAAATTTTGGTACTTGGGTGCAGAGGTCAGAGGACCTGTCTCTCCAGAACTGGCTCATATATGAATAGTGTACTTTATCATTTGGGGACTGGATATGGTGGTTTCTGGGTATGGTGAAATCTTCTAAAGTCTCAACAGCCTTACCGTCTTCCCCTAAAGACTAGATCATTACTAGACAATAGAATCTCAATATGAGATGAGCTGGGCATTTGGGAAAGACATCTCAAGCTTAATCAGGGCCCTTTTATTACCTTGATTTTATTACCTTGGCGAGATGGTATATAATGGTATATAATCCCAGCCATTAGCTCCACCATTTGGAACTGTAGTGGCTTCTAGAGGTTCACATAGAAAAGACTTGTTGATATATCAGATCAGGATGCTACTGGGAGATGGAACACTTGTAAGAAGTAGAGCTTGGTTGGAGGTCACAGGAGAAACTGTGCTCTGGAAGGGAAACTGGGTTTATTCTTCCCTACCCCATGTTTATTATGTGTATGAGTGCCTTTCTTGCTTGTATATTGGCCTGTGGTGGCCAGAAGAGCCCACCTCATGTGCATGTGGTGTGTGTGTGTTGTTGTTGTTGTTGTTATTGTTCCACCACATGTTCTTTTTCACAGACCCAGAAGCCACAGAGCCAAGGGCCATAGATCAAAACTTCTGGAAGTACAAGTCAAAATACAGCCCCTCCTTTTAAGATGATCTGGGATATCTGTCAGGATGACGATGATCTCAGAACATCTGTCACGGTGACGGAGCTAACACAAAGACTCATGGTCCTTTTACTTACATTAAAGTCATGCAGTCCCCAGTACATTAAGGAAAAAGAGCAACTCAGACCCATATTTACAGTGTAGTATACTTTGTATTTCTTCAGGTTACACATGGTGCTTGTTTATGTGCAGACACCCTCGAAGAGCCCGCAGCTGTTTGGAGGGGTTGCTTCCCAGACTGAGAATGGGGCCAGACGGGCCATTGCTCTTCACTCTTCCTAAGTACAGGTGTTCATGTGCAAGAGTAAAGAAAGAATATCCAGGAAGACAAAGCGAAGTGCATAAAAATGGGTGCCCTGCATACAAGCAAGATGGCACCACACTGCTAGATTCCAGGAGTGACAGGAAGGGAACAAAGCATCTGGTCTGAGTTGGCCAATGGGGCTTGCACTGAACCTGGACTTGGAGTGAGTTGCAGTGCTGGCCATGGTTAACAAACACAGTGTGGTCAGTGTTGCAAGGAGACGTGGGATATGGAACTGGGGACATTTGGAACAGGACAGGCGTACAAGTCTGAGCCCTTCAGGGAAGGGGACAAGGAGAAAGAGGAAAGGGAGAAAGGGAGAAAACATGCTGTTGGAGTATGCAGTGCAAAGTGAGGCTGGCTGTCAGATAAAGGAAACCTTCATGATGTCGGAAGACTGAGCTCAGAATATGGCGATGGCTTATACACAGTGCTGTGAGTACAGGTGTGCGGTGGGTAGGGGTGGGCTGTGGGTAGGGGTGTGCTGTGGGTAGGGGTGTGCTGTGGGTAGGGGTGGGCTGTGGGTAGGGGTGGGCTGTGGGTAGGGGTGGGCTGTGGGTAGGGATGAGCAAGACACCACAGTGGGAGTGTCCTTCATTCCTCTTCCCTGCATGATGTTGCCATGGCCTGACCCCAGACAAGTGAGTTTCATTGCCTCCATCATAAAATATCATGCCATGCCAAATCTTGCCATTTGAGCTCATTTCTGGGAAACAGGAGTGCCCTGTGACCTTGGCAGCTTGGACTGACAGATGATATCTGTCCTGCTGCCTAAATTGTGGCTGTGTTTCACAGAGTACCAGTGATAGATGCTGTCGTGGTCATGGTAATGTAACAGAAGTCTCTCCTCCCAACTTGGTTCCAGGCAAAATTATCTCAAGTGGACAATGAAAGCAGCTTGGCCAGTCTTGATTCCTGAGCGTGCAGATAGCTTAGACCTGAGAGCTATTTTATTTGGAAGCAAGGAATGGCTTCCCAAAAAATGGCAGCATGATACCTAGGAGCGATTGCCTTTTTTCTTTTCTTTAGAGAAACAGATTTTCTGTTGTTGGTGAAGGCCCTTGAAGACTGTAGCTTAAACTCAACTGGAAAGTGGTCACTGACATCCAGGGCCTGTAAGGGGAAAACGGAAGTAGATCTGGGGATTAAGGAATGCCTGGGACATGCCACGGCTTTATCAATGACTACAGACAGGAGTAGAAGGGACAGATGAAATGTTTGGGGGTCACCCGGTAGAAACTGACGAATGTTGCTCTTGGTCCTGCTCCTGGGAAGTCTTGGCAGGTCTTCAAATCTGTAGCTCTTCAGACTCAAGAGCAGCCCTCCCACATCTCCAGAGTGCTGAATCAGAAAGAGAAGTTGGTACTCTTACCTCCTCTTCAGATAACTCATAAGCTTTCTGAAAGTCAAAGACGCCATTGGAACGGGGAACCACGGAGTTGACTATCTCTTGTCCACAAAGCACAATCCTGGAGTGAGGACAGGGAGGACAGACGATGCATGAATTAGTCCAAGCTGTAGACTTTTGGAATAAAGGGGAGGTCTGAGTTTAACTCTGGAGTCTATTGAACAGTCTAACCCATTTCTGTAGTGAGTGCTTCATGCCCACAGCTGAGTTTAGCTTGCTCTCTGTGCTGATTAATTTTTGTAAACTTGTCAAAAGCCTAGAAATATCTGGGAAGAGGGAACCTCAGTTTGAGGAATTTCCTCCATTAGACTGGCCTGAGGGCATGTCTGTGGGGCATTATTTTTAATTGTTAATTGATATAAGAGGATCAAGCCCACTGTGGGCAGTATCATCCCTAGGCAGGAGGGCCTGAGCTTTAGTAGTGGAGTACTTCAGTTTTGTGTATCCAAAGTAATTTATAAAACACTCACGAATGATAAAAGAACTGCAAGAGGTATCACCATTCCTGATAAATTGTTCTACAGAGCTATAGCCATAAAACTAGCATGGGATTGCCACAAAACAGACTTTCTGATCAATGAAATAGAGTTGAAGAACCAGAAATAAATCCACACACCTATGCACACCTGATTTTTGATAAAGAAGCCAGAAATACATACTAGAAAAAGGACAGACAGCATCTTCGACAAATGTGGCTGGTCAAATTGGATGTCTGCATGTAGAAGAATGCAAATAGATCCATATTTATCACCCTGCACAAAACTCAACTCCAAATGAATCAAAGACCTCAACCTAAAACCAGGTACACTTAATCCGATAGAAGAGAAAATAGGGAATAGTCTTTAACTCATTGGCACAGGAAAAGTCTTTCTGAATAGACCACCAATAGCACAGGCATTAAGACCAATAATTTAAAAATTAATGAATGGGACCTCATGAAAATAAAAAGTAAGCTAAAGGGCATGGTCATTTGGACAGAGGGTAGCTTACCAACTACACATCCAAAAGAGAGCTAATATCTAAAATATATAAGGAACTCAAAACATGGACATCAAGAAAACCTATAACCAAATTTAAAAGTGGGATAAAGATTTTTAAAAAGAATTCTTAAAACGTGAAGCAAAAATGGCTGGAAAAAAAACACTTGAAGTGTTCAACATCCTTATCCATGAGTAAAATACAAATCAAACTACTTTGAGATTCCATCTTACACCAGTCAGAGTGACTAAAAACAATAATGCAAGTGACAGCACATGCTGGAGAGGGGGTGGAAACACTCATCCATTGTTGGTGAGAGTATAAACTTGTTCAGCCACTATGGAAATCAATGTGGCAGCTCATCAGAAAGATAGGAATCAATCTACCTTAAGAGGCAGCTGTATCACTTGGGCAGATACCCAAAGGATGCTTCATTCTGCCACAGAAACAGTTGCTCAAACTTGTTCATTGCTACACTATTCAGAATAGCCATTAATGGGAAACAACCTAGATATCTATCAATGGATGAATGGAAAAAGAAAAATGTAGCACGTTTACACAATGGAATATTACTCAGCCATTGAAAATGAATTCATAAAATTTGCAAGTAAATGAAGCTAGGAAAAAATCATCCTGAGTGAGGTAACTCAGACCCAGAAAGACAAATATGGTATGCATTTGTTAAGTATTTGCTTATATGTGGATGTAAGCTGTTAAGTCATAGATAAGCAAGCTACAGTTTGTATAACCACACAGGTTAGGTAGAGAGTAAAGGACTAGGGGGGAGAGGTTGACCTTCCTAGGAAGGGGAGATAGAACAGATAGTTATGCAAGAATGAGGTGGGGGGATTGAAAAAAGAGGATCAAGCAGGAAGGGGAAGGGAAGAAAGGGGAGAGGGAGGGAATACAGGGAAGAAGAGGTAAAGTTAGGGCCATTTGAGGGGTCATTAGGAAACCTAGTACAATAGAAGCTTCCTATAATATAGCATATATGAGGGTGCTAAATGAAACTGACAAATACTGGGGGCGATGGAGCCCCTACTGGACATCTCTCATCACCGAATGAAGCTTCTAGGACTGGGAATGGTTTATACCCAGTCAAGGTGTTAGCCAAAGAGGTCCCATGGGGACACCCAAACAGTCCAGGATATTGCCAAGGCTCTCCACAAGTCAACAGTAAGGCCTGATTGCTGAAGCAACACCTATACAACTCACGATCACAGAGAAGTCAAGCTGGAGCCTACCTAGAACCTTCACCCTTATGGACCAGTATTGTTAATACTGGACTTTAGTTACTCTGCATGCTACCAAAGGAGAATGGTAAACACCAATCCACCTACAAACTTTCTACCTACAAGAGTGACCTACCTGCAGGTTACGCTGCTACAATAATGGCACAATGCTTGGAGTAACCAACCAATATCTTATTTAAGTTAAGGCCCATTCCATGAGCTGGAACCCATACCCAAACTGCTTGGGTGACCAGAGCCTGAGACTAGATAGGCCAGGGACCTAGGGGAAACTAAATACTATTGTTCCACTAAAGGAACATAGCAATGAAATAACTCCTGATGACATTCTCCTATATTCATAGATCCATGTCTTGCTCAGTTATCGCCAGAGACGCTTCTTCTTGTAGCAGATAGGAACAAACACAGAGACCCACAGTCAGACATTACGCAGAGAGTGAGAGACCTAGGAAAAGCTCTGAAAGGGAAGTCTCCATCAAATCCTTCCTCTCGGGGTTCAGGAAACTCTGAGGAAGAGAAGGCAGAAAGAGTATGAGAGGCAGAGGGAATGGAAGACAGAAAGGAGTCAAGAGCTACATAGGTACAACATGGCTGGCACACATATGAACACACAGAAACCATGGCAGCATGCTAGGGCCTGCATGAGCCTGCACCAGACGGGATCCTAGAGCAGAAAGGAGATGTGTTGACACGCTCCCATCTCTAACCCTGAAACTATTACTAATTGACTATCACTTGCAAGTGAAAATTTTGTTTTCTCCAAGGGAGTCTCACTGAGAGAACAAATTCTTAATAAGGCTAGGCTTCAAGCCCAGCAGGAGATAGGATTCTACTCAACAACACAAAACAAATCCAACAGCATCTTTGGAGGCTCCTTCTGTCCTAATGTTAAGTCAGGGCATTTTTCCCCTTCTATCTTACAGCTCCTTTGTATATATAGTGTGACTTCTGGTTCGGGGTTCTTGTGGGATTCCTGTGTATTTGAATGTATACATCTATACACATTTCTTATGCTTTTTCTTAGGCTCTTTTCCTTGTTTGGTTGTTTTGTCCTATTCCAATTTTTTGTTTTATCTTATTGTATTTTATTATTGCTTCTAAGCCTGTTTGTTTTCTAACAAGAAACAGAAAGGGTGTAGATCTGGAAAGGAGGGAAGGAGGGGAGAAACTGGGAGGAGTGGGGGAGGAGAAACCATCATCAGAATGCATTGTATGAAAAAAGTCAATTCTCAATAAAAGAAAACAAGTAAATGAAGAAGAAAAGAAAAGCAGCTGAGCAAGCTAGAGGGACGAGGCCAATCTGCAGCATTCCTTCATGGTCTCTGCTTCAGTTTCTGCTTCAAGGTGCTGTCTTGGTTTCCCTTGATAATAGATTATAACCAGTAAGTTAACCTTTCCAAACAAATTCAAGACAAACCCTATCTCAAGACAGTAAGACAGACATGTATCTCTGACCTCCAGGTACATGCACCTACATACTCACTTGCATTCACCAACAGAGACACATAACAACAACAACAGCTTAGAAGAAAGAAACAAAGAATTGGACTCTAGCATTTGCCAAGGGAGGCGAAGCAGGTAATTCTATGTAATCTTAGTGCCCTGCCTAATTTGTGGAAAGTGGATGAAACTGCCCTTCTTTTGTGGCTCTTCCCTGAGCTTTTCTACTTCTGAGTGGTGGCTTGGTTTCTGGGTTTGAACTGCCATGGATCCCATAGCTGGCATGAGTGAGCTGGCGCCATCTCCCCAGCTTGGCTGAAGACTCATAAGAATGGGAAGAAAGGCCTGGGAGCTTGAGAGATGGTAAGTTCTCACCCTGGGCTTCCACTTTTGAAGGCTGAAACAATAATAGCCAAAAGGGAAACTGTGGCCTCAAAAAGCCCCAAGAGGAACAAAGGTGACCAAGAAATGGGTGTAAATTCAGACCTCAAACGTAAGAAGTAAGCACACCACGAGGAAGGTTGTGCTCCCTCCTCAGCAAGCTGAGGGCTGAGAACAGGGGGCACTGTGGGACTCAGGTTTCCCCCACTGTTGTCTGTGGTTTCTGCTGTGGATGGTCACTGGCATTCACATACTTCAGATATCCTCATGTTCCTCTTGACTCAGAGAACAGAGCTGACAGTGCTTGAAAAACCCCAGGGAAAGTTAAAGTGCACAATGACTGTCACTATTTAAACACGTGTATCTGCGTGTCTGTATAGCAATAATTTTAAAAACTATTCAAGTCAGGTATAGTGGCACATGCTGTAATCCCAGCACTCTGGAGTCTGAGGAAGAAAAACCAAGAGTTCAAGATCATTCTGGGCCAAAGAGTGAGTCTGGAGCCATGTTGGGCTACATGACAAAACCCTGTCTTGAATCACAAAGTATGAATACTGTTGCATTAAATATTCTCACTTTAAGTTTGAAAGCTATTTCTTTGTTGGGGATCAAGTGACCGCAAGCATGCAAGACCAGAGAACAGCTTTGTGGAGCTAGGGGTCTCCTTCCTGTTCTGGGGACTCAAACTCAGTTCTTCAATACTTGTGTGGCAAGTGCCTTTACCTGTTGAGCCACCTCGCTGCCCCTTACTTTTTCAAGTAGTACCTAAGGGTTGCAAACATTGGCTCAAGGTATACAAGTGGGCTGTATGTTTCAGCAGTGTTTATAGCAGCAAATCCCTGGTATCTGCTGAATGGCCAGTGATGGCGGTGGGGTGACCAACTGTGGCCTATGTTTGGGATAAGATTGATAACAACACAGGAATCACCTGTGGCCATAGCTTCCTGAATGTTCTAGGTATCATCTAAGAACACACAAATGTATTTAGCATTGGTCAAAGGACAGGCACTGCTTTAAAAGTTTTACGTGTGTCATTTCTTCAACCCTCACTATGTCCTCACAACTGAGTTGCTTTCAATGCTACCATCTGTGATTTACAAGTGAGAAAACCAACACAAAGTATGAGTCTTGGTTGGTCACAGCACTTCAAGTGGTGGAGTTGGGACTTGAACTCAGGCCCTTTTGACATCAGTGCTGGCCACTGCTAAGTTTTAGTACAACCATATACTGCTGTATACTGCATAAGAAACTAGAGGGCCCTTGTACAGGGGTAGCCTCCACGCCAAACAACCACCACCTTGGACAGTCACCTGTGCCCAGCTGGGATTGTTGACTGCTTACATCTCCACAAAGAAGGGTAGGGAGGGTTACAAGACCAGTTCCTGAGTTTCCAGACCCTCCCTAACAACTGAGCGTGCAACTCATCCCCAACTGCCCATGGCCTGGGGAAGGGATAGAGTGTGTAAGTCTTATAAGATTAAGGGATCCAGGCTTTATCTATGCAGTTGTGGAAAAGTCTCTGCTAAGTAAAGACTTCCTGGTATGGCCACTTGGCAGGGGAGCACCCACACTCTAATAAGGAGTAAGCACCCCCACCTAGGATCTATAAGGAAACCCGACAATCTCATGAGTTCCCTGGAGTGAACTTTAGTGGACCCCCTACCTCGGTTTGGTATTGGGACTGTAGGGTGGGCACTGTTTACATCGTCCCTAGCAAAGAAATCTTAGCTAACAGGTTTGAAATGGAGCTGACTCCTCAGACTGCCCTGGGACAAAGGCAGCCTCTGTAGAGGCCCTTACCTGTCATAGGCACAGCTGGTGCTCTTCTTGACTGTGGTGTCCTCTTGGTCCCCAATCAGCCAAACAAAGTTGGGGTCCGTCCTCAAACGGATGTTCTGCCAGGCTTTCTTGGGGACATAGCTGCAGCCGGCATTGAAATCACCCATGAAGATGAAATTCTGAAAGGCATGATTTAGACCCATCACTTGGTAAGCACTGGAAAACATTCGTGCCTTCATTTTCCACCACCTGCAAGGACCCACCTTCCACGCCCAGTGAACAAAGAGGTATGTTTGGTTGTTGGTTGGTTGGTTTGGTTTGGTTTTGAAAATGGTATAGTTCTGTATAGTCCTAGATGTCCTAGAACTCATTCTAGAAACCAGGTTGGCTTTCAACATAGAGATCTGCCTTATACAGACCAGGGTGGGGATTTGCTCCTGGCTTTGATCCCCAGTGTGACCATAGTAAGTGAAGGAATTTAAATAAGTAAACTTTAATCGGTGGTTAGAACACAGGAAGACACAGAGGAAAGGCAGCAGAAGATGATGAGAATCAGCAGGCAGAGGCCAGAGGCCCTGGAAGGAGCAACCCTGTCCTGGCACACCGGCCTTGGCTCTGCAGCCTGGCCAGCAGGAACAAGCAGCTCAGAGTTGTTTCAGACATACTTTCTGCTACACTGCTATGCCACAGCAAACTTACAGAGCTTCTGTCTTTGTTTCATTTCTTTTAAAAAATTTATTTATTTTTGTTTTATTTGCCTTGGTGTTTTGCCTACATGTATGTCTGTGTGAGAGTGTTGGATCCCCTGGAATTGGAATTACAGACAGTCGTGAGCTCCCATGTGTGTGCTGGGTATTAAACCAGGGTCCTCTGTAAAAGCAGTCAGTTCTCTTAACCCCTGAGCCATCTCTCCAGCCCTGCATCTTTGCTTCCCTTTTAAGAGAAGAGAAAACAGATTCCAAGTGAGTCACAGTTTTGACAAGGATGTGACAGTTAGAAGGAGTGGGAAAGAGGATGCTCACCCACCGAGCCATCCGGTTCTTAGTCACCATCTCTCTGTAGGTGGGTGTGCACAGGTAGACAAGAACACTGGAATCCAGCTAAGACATCCCCTCCCATAAACACTGCAGCAAATATGAATGAGTATACACCTCAGTACCCAAGAGGCAAAATGCACTTGCGTAGTGTGATGATAGTTGCTTTGTTGTCTCTCTGTGTCCTATTGTATGTGTTGGGGTCAGAAACTAATGCCTAACGCTTGGTCCTTGGAGACAGAGAGTCCTAAGGGTTGCAGGCCTAAGAGTTAACTGTCTTTTTCCACTCTATACCACCAACTGTTGGAAGTGTCCCCACGACACCCCCAAGGGCCAAGGGAAGAGAATTCTAATATCCCACACTACAGAGGAAACAGCTTACTTCCTTTTTTGTGCTATTGTTTTGGATGATTGCTGACTTGTGAGTTTTCCTTAAGAACAATTTATTTTGATATCTGTAATTAGGGTTTCCCGTGAGATTAAGGACACAACATTATCCCTGACTTATGTACCCTAGCATGGAGTGAACTCAATTCAGCTTCGTTTGAAAGCGCCATTAGCCACAGCAGGAACAGGTTAGACTCTAACCCTTAGAGGGAACGTGCAGACTGCTCTAGGCCACACAACCAGGAGCTTGAAGCATTAACAGTCAAACTTCAGTCTGCCCTCCTGACGGTTCCTCCTCCAAGGTTTCTTCCTGGGGTCCTATTGATCGATAGATGCTCAGTATACTCTTGCTGAGTGTGTGGGATTCATCATTTGTCCTCGATCTTACAAGTAAACAATAAAACACACCCCTGGGCTTCTTGATGGTCAGTTTTGACCATCTGTGTCCACACTTGACTCATTTTGTACCTTGAGCAGAGGAACTGAGGAGGAAGAGGGACTCTCAGCATCACATTCCGAAAGGAAAAAAGAGGAATTTGGTAGGAGAGCCATCTGAGCGCTTCCCCATTTACCAGGTGCTTCCTCAAGCCCTCAGAGCCTTCCTAAAGAGGTGTCGGCTGTTTTGAGGAGCAGCCTCCTTCTCCTTTACATGATCTTGCCACTTGCCTCTGAAACACTCCCGACCTCTATACCTCACTGTTCTCATCTGTGAATCGGGACAAATTGTAGGATTGCTTAGTATGTGTGGCAGGGAGTACACATGTGCAAATATACATGTAGGCATGCACACATGTAGGTATGCAAACATGTAGGCATGCACACATGTAGGCGTGCTTGTGGAAGCCAGACTACAATCTTGGGAGTGTTCCTTAGGTGCTCCTGCTTCCTCTCTCTCTCTCTCTCTCTCTCTCTCTCTCTCTCTCTTTCTCTCTCTCTCTCTCTCTCTCCCTCTCTCTCTCTCTCTCTCTCTCTCTCTCTCTCTCTCCTGTTGTCTATTGTTTCATGGTTTCTGGGGACTGAACTCAGGTCCTAATGCTTTCAGGACGAGCCCTTTATCTCTCCATCTCCCCAGCCCCTTGTTAGACTATTGAGAGGATTAAACTCACTTGTTCTTGTGTACTCTCAGCACATTGCCTAGGCCTCAGTGCCAAATGCTGACCTCCATCATAAATGCAGCAGAGCATGAATTCCCAAGACCCGCTGGGACAGGCCCAGGCGGCTTTAGCAAGAAGGACGTTTAGGGCTGAAGAAAAGCCTAGGACGTGGCTGTGAATCTGTAGTGGCTTGCAAGTAATCTGTCCCCTGCCCTCCCACTCAATAACTGGTGTTGCTTGATGGAATGAAACAAGCACAGAGGTCCTCACCTCTGCCTTCCATTGGCTTTTCACATCCGCGTAGACATCAGCCAGCTCATCTATCTCTTTAACCGAGGTCTCGGGAGTTGTGTGCAAGGGAACAATCACGAAGTCCTTGACAGCTGAAAATGGCAAACAGGAGGTGGTACAGTGAGACTTCTGGAATTTTTGGTTTCTTTTTAAAACAGAAAAATAGTATAAGAATATGTTTTGTTTTAATCCCAGGTGTGAGATATGGGGCTGTTTTAGTTTGACCTCAGCAGCTGACTATGATTTGCCTCGTCCTCTGTGAGGGGTGATTTTGCCAGCTGCAGATAGATTTTGATTTTGATTTCTGGGGGCTTTTCAGAGGATATATAAATGCTAGGTCCCCAAGAGGCATGGTTGGTTGTTGGCTTATTGTTGATGGACGTTAGTCACAGTTTGTTAGGTAGTCTTTCACAAAAAAAGAAATAACAAGAAGAAACTAGATATCATGACAGTGCAGATCAAACTTGTCCCAAGGAACTGACACCCCTAATTAGCAAGGTAGTAGTCTGACAAGAACATCGCTCCCTTTCCAACCTCTGACTTCATTCAGGGATCTCTTTCCTTTCTTCTCTATCACTTTTTTCTCTCTAGTATTAGGGGGGTTGAAAGGGTGGAAGAAAAGGGATGGAGAAGGGTAGAAGAAAGGAGAACCCACAAAGTAACCAAAGTCCAGCTACAAGGTGGCACACTTCCGGTTAAGGGCCCACTGACACTGCCTGAGAAGAAACTGTCCCTTCGAGGAGGCACTGTTGTATTTGGAGGCTGAAGACAGGCTCCAGCCAGTGGCTGGAACTTCAGGATTTAGTGGCACCAGGACACTTGTTTTCTTTCAGGACATGGAAGACTCCTACCTCCCACCTGTGCTCTCTCTAGCTAAAAGGAAGTTGGTAGACGTGGTACCTACTGGTACTGTGGATTCTCTCTCTCCTCTCTCTCCTTTTTCCTTTCTTTTTTAATGTGTGTGTGTCTGTGTGAGTATGTCTCTGTGGGTCTTTGTGTGTGTGTGTGTGTGTGTGTGTGTGTGTGTGTGTGTGTGTGTGTGATCTGTGTGTGTGTCTGTGGTGTATGTCTGTGTCTGTGTGTGTGTGAGTATGACAAATCATATTGCAGAGTTGGTTTTCTCCTTCTATGTGGGTTCTGACGATCTCACCTGCTCTTTCTTTTTCAAATCTTCATTTTTCTCTTGGTTCATTTGGAATAATAAAAGTTGTTTATGTTTTTTGGCTGTACCACTCTTTTCTAAGAGTAATGAATTCATCTGGGTGTGGTGGCACACATCTGTAATTCTAAACTTGGGAAGCTGAGACAGAAGGATCAGAAGTTTGAAGCCAGTCTCAGCTACAAGAGAATGCTTCAAAAATGAAAAGGATAACCTACAGCAGATAGACAAAAGGTTACTTGGAATAGGGCCTTAGTGACCACTTTGTTCAAGGTGGCCTTCTGGGGCTGTAGGTGTCCAAGGTGGCTAAGACGGGATGAACACTTGGCATATGTGCATTTTGTTTTGCATCTGTCTCCTCTGCTACCTTAAACTTTGGCTCAGATTCTGAGCTGACATGATCACCATTTAAGGAGGCAACAAGTCTGTCATCCCCTGAGACTGAAGACAGATGTTTTCATCATTCCAGAAACAGTGAACCCTGCAGGAAGGTCAAGCCCTAATGGAAACCTAGGCAGGAACCTCAGGCAGCTACAGTGTCCTCCAGGGCACTTGAATTGCCCCCTGGGGCCAGTCACAGATCTATGCATGAAGTTGTGACCAGGACTGTTGACCAGCTCTGCCTCTCCTGTCTTTTCTTCTTTGCTGTCTCTTTTTGATTTCTGGGAGTCTTGCTAGGGTCACCCAGGATAGGGCTCAGGACACTCCCACCTGCTTCCTGCTGTTGCCACACTGGCAATCATGCCTTCATCTCAGGTGGGAATCTTGGGGCGCCAGGTGGCAGGTGGCAGACCTGATTTGTTGTGAGTCCTGAACCCCAGCCCCTGACCAATGACTCTGATAACATGTTTAGCTTTTGTACTAAAAGGAAAATGAAAAATGGAGGCTGGCAAGTTTATAGTCCTTTTATAACCAAGAATAAAAGCCCCCCCCCCAAAAATACTTTAAAAACTAGAAAGCAGGTCACAGAGGTACGTAGCTTTAATACCAGTACATGGGAGGTTGAGGCAAGTTCTGTCTGTGAGTATGAGGCCAGCCTGATCTATATAGTGACACCCTGTATCAAAAAACAACAAAGGGGGAAGGTGCTGGAGAAAGGGCTCAGTGTTAAGAGCATTACTAGTCTGGCAGAGGATTGGAGTTCATTTTCTAGCACCCATGTTGGGTGGCTCACAGCTGCCTATAACTCCAGGGGCATTCAACATTTCTGGCCTTCTTGGGCACCTGCATGATGTATGTGTATACACACACACACACACACACACACACAGAGAGAGAGAGAGAGAGAACGAGAGAGACAGAGAGAAAGAGAGAGAGCACGTGCACGCCCTGGGTTAGATTCTCAGCACCACATAAAATAAGGCATGGTTGCATAGGACTGCAATTTCAGCATTCAGAAGTGGACACTCAAGAATCAACAGTTCAAGACCAGCCTGGGCTGTGTGAGACCATATCTCAAAACAAAACAGACAAGATGATGGTTAGGATGTAGTAGTATACTTCTCTAATGCTAGCTTTAGAAAACAAGAACCAGGACTGTAAAATCAGGGTTAGCCTGGGCTATATAGCAAAACCTTAAAACAACACAACAACAACACACAGAAAGGAACACACACACACACACACACACACACACAGAGAGAGAGAGAGAGAGAGAGAGAGAGAGAGAGAGAGAGAGAGAGACTGCTAAGTGCAGCTCCCATGTGGACCTGGGAACCACGGCTTGCCCATGCCTGCAGGAGCTGTGATGAGACTCATTGAGAGTCACCCCCTTGGCTTCCACTCCTGCCTCATGTGGGAAGGCTGTGAGATGGCCACTTGTCCAGCCTCATAGTGAGAACATGAGAACAGCAATTCTTTTCCCCCCAATTGATGGCAGCTAGCTTGCAATGAGCCAATATTTCATAAGCCTCTGCCATCTTGTGAACTCTTGTGTATATGCCAGTTTTCCCAAGCCCTGAACATTGTTGAGCCTTTGCCATACCCTTCCCCTTTACACTGGTTAGGAACTAGCCAATCTCATCAGACTGTGAGGCCAAGTTCCCACCCATGGATGAAACACGGTCAGCACCCACAGTAAAATAAAAACTAATTGAAAGTCCCTCCCCTGGACACTTGCTCACTTAGTTTGGGTTGTGGCACATCGTTTTGCAAAATGCCAGGTTACTCTTGGTTTGTTGTGTCTTTTTTTTTGGAGGGGAAGGGTTGTTTGTTTGTTGTTGGTTTTTGTCTTCAAGACTCGGTTTCTCTGTGTAGCAGGACTTCTCTGTGTAGTCCTGCAACTCACTGTATAGACCAGGCTGGCCTCGAACTCAGATATCCAAGTGCTGGGACTAAAGGCACACATCACCACTGTCTAGCTCATATGTGTTTCTTTCATCAACACAGACAATATTGCTTTCCAACAGGGAGCTGGGACTTAGACCCAAAGGATGTCCCTGGAGCCTGAGGACTTACTCCTTAGCCACACTTCCATTTCCCAGCTCCTGTGTCTCTGCCTCTCTGATCTCCCTACACACATTCCCCACTCCCCCCACCCCACCCCTGCTCTGAGATCCTGTGCTCTCAATGTCTCCCTTTCTCCAGCCATCTGCATGGGCACAGACCATGTCTGCCCCGATGGTCGTGACTGTGGTCCCTCTAAGGCGGTCCTTCCGCAGTATTTGATGTGCCCTGATTGTTCCTTCATCCTCTGCACTCGTTCTCCTCTCTTCCATGCTTGACGCACAGGAGCCCCCTCCATCATGCCAGGCTTCTATTTTCAACTCACCTTTTTGGCTGCACTACCTAGCACAACTCCTGGCACACTGGAGACGCCCAAAACCATTTCTTGATTGAATACATAAATGAGTGACTCAGGGGCTGGAGAGATGATGGCTCAGTGATTAAGAGCACTGGCTGCTCTTCCAGAGGTCCTGAGTTTGATTCCCAGCAACCACACGGTAGCTCACAACCATCTGTAATGGGATCCAATGCCCTCTTCTAGTGTGTCTGAAGACACTGTATTCATATACATAAAATAAATAAATATTTTTTTAAAAAAATGATTAGATAAATGAATGAGATTGTTAAATCATTTGTCCCAGCAGAGGAAAGGAAAGAAAGACAGGAAGGTAAAGGGTCAGAAAATACAGATTTGCTTAGCAGTACAGAACTTTGCCTCTCTTTGAGAAGAAATGGCGCTTACAGGCGGAGGCTCTCCATGCCCTGCCTGGCATAGCAAACAGGATAATGAATAAGAGGATTACTGCACTCACTGTCCTCAGCAGCCTCTTCTCTTTCTCTACTGAGAATTCTCACACCTCTTTCATAATCATTTTCCCAGAGTGCCCTCCTCTAAGCTAATTAACCATGGGCAGAAATAGTTAATGCCGCAGTTCAGGGTGTTACATTACAACAGTGTTGATGGATATAGGCATACTTCCTTTAATTCTGCATATATCTATCTGCCCACCTCTGTCTCCCTGCTACAGTATGATGTCATCCGGGCAGGGACGCTGTCAGTCTTCTGCTCTGACACATAGTAAGTAGTGAAAAGCATTTGACGCTGCATGCTGCAACTTACATTTTAATGCTTGATTCTTTGTATTTATTTTCTTTCAGTGTAGACGATTTGATCTGGGACCTTGTGTGTGCTAGCCACATGCCCTTTCACTGAATTATACTGTTGGCTCTTGGCATTTTGAGGCAGGGTCTCACAATATAGCTCAGGCTGACTTGAAACTGGCCAATCCGTTTACCTCTGCCTCCTGGGTGCTGAGATTATAGGCATGTACTACCATGTCTGGTGAAATCGCAACCTTCTATTGAGTACAGTGGTGACCGGGAGTGTGGGCTTTTGGGTTGGTGGCTTGACTTACAGCTATGGCTTGTCTTTAATAGCTTTTAGATTTTAACAGCTTGTCTGGCTACTTTAGTAGCTGGATTTTGAGCAAGTGATAAAGCCTTTAAAACCTCAGTTTCTTCAAATCTGAGTAGGCGGCAATCCTAGCCCCATACCTCAGGAAACTGGCCATTAATCATGGACCAGTAGCAGTGTCACTGGGAATCAAAATGCACCTGATATGGCTTTTCTCCCTCCTGGCAATCTGTAGAGAAGGTTGCTACACTATGGAGTGACTTGACTGTAGGGGGAGTGAGACTCTTGGGGTTTTCCTTCAATGACCCCACTTCTGTCTTTTGAAAATGAAGAAGTTATACCTGACAGGGATCAAGAACTGAGATAAACCATTTCTATGCCTCTAAATACTCAAGAGGGTGGAGCTACCAATGATTCTGGAGAATGGTACCCAGGCCGGGAGGTCCTGCATCTCAGCATTCTGAAAAGCAAGCAAGCCTGGTCCCACCAGACAAGCTTTTTTTCTCAAGCTCAGGCATCCCATAAGACAATGCATGCATGAGTCTGAGAGCATGGCTCACACATGATCAGGGCTGTGCTCCTTCATGGGCTGCTGGGGAGGTAATGAGGAGAAAGGCTGTTACAGTTTAAATATAAAATGGCCCACATAGTTACATGTGTCGAATGCCTGGTCCCCAGCTGGCAGCAGTATTTTGGGAGATTGTAAAAACTTTAAGAGATGTATATGGGCATTGCTGGAAGAAGTGGGTCACTGGGCAGTGACTTTGGAGGTTACCCTTGGGCCCTGGTGCCTTTCTCCCACCTCTCCACCATAAGGTGAAGAAGCCCTGTGGCATAAGTTCTCATTGCCATAATGTTCTGCCCCACCACAGCCCCAGAGTCTATGAAGCACCAGACATGACCTGAACTCTCTGAAACATAAATAAATCTCCCCTCCTCTAAGGTATTTGCATCAGTATTTGGTCATAGTGACCTCAAGGGTAACTGATATAGGGTCATAGTCTCACCAGTGAAGGGCGAATGGAACCAAACCACAAAGGGCTCTCTGGAAAATACGTCTGTGTCTCCATCCTGATAGTCATGGTAGAGGTATTTTGCCTTCACAGATACCAGCTTCTCCCTAGGAGAGAAAAAGAGAACTCCTTTCTCTGAGTCCTTTGGTTATCATAGTTTCCTTTGACTTCAGTAGCTTCCAGAGCAGGCTCCAGTGGTGGTGGTGGATCTGGAGGCTCTTTTCCCTAAGTACAGGCAGTCAGCTCTTCTCCACAGAGTTGAGGCCTGTGTTATACCTGCTATCTGGGGCACATCAAGTGAATGATTTTTAAATGGATTGGCATTAGGAAGCCAGTGAGAGTCCTCTGTGCTACACTCATGTGCTGGGACAGGCCTTGCCCGTGAAGGACAAAGAACTCCTGCCCCAGCCAGTCATTAGTTGTCACAGTGCTACTATGTCGTCTACTAGTTAGTGTCTGAGTCATTTTCTTAAGGGTTTTAGGTGATTTGCTTTGAGACAGAGTCTCAGACAGGGTCAAGCTCAGGCTGACCTTGAACTTGCTGTGTTGCTTGAAGATCCTCCTGCCTCCACCATTGGAGTAGAGTGCTGGGACTTAAGGCCCGTGACACCACAATGCTGGGCATCAATCCAGGTTTGCATATGCTGGGCAAGCACCTCATCACCTGAGCTACAGCCCCAACACACTAGTCATTAATTTGATGACAAAGATTCTGATTGATAATGATAAATGCCTAGAGACCTGAATCAAATGTTTTTGCTTCATTTGAGCAGGGTCTCGGTATGTAACTCTCACTAGCATAAGACCATGTAGACCAAGCTGGCCTCAAACTCATAAAACTTTCCCTGCCTCTGCCTCTCAAGTCCTGGGATTCAAGGTATGTGTTACCATGCCTTGCCTAGAGTCTATTTTTAAAGGAAAACACAACACACATATTTGGCTTCGATTCAGTCAAGTCAAGGGTCAGCCGAACTCACTTGTAGAGGAAGGCATACTGTTCTTTGTACGTGTTTCTTCCAAGTCGAGAACTAATCACATAGTTGTATGTTGTGCTTCTTCGTGAATTTCTAGAAGACAAAATATTTTAGTGTGCTGTAAACACTAAACACATCTCTGCTGCATCTGCCTCCACGTCCCCCGTGCTGGCACATGGTACCACGGCTGGCTCTTATGTCTGAGGGCTACTATTTTTACCTCCCACTCCATTATTGTTGTTATTATTATTACTATTATTAATCATTGACAGGGTTTCTCTGTGTAGTCCTGGCTGTCCTGGAACTCACTCTGTAGCCCAGGCTGGCCCTGAACTCAGAGATACCCCTGCCTCTGCCTCCTGAGTACTGAGATTAAAGGTGTGTGCCAATATCACCTGACCCCCCCCCCCACTGTATGATTTAATAACACAAGGCTAGAATTTGAGCATAAACCTTTTCTTTTAATTTGTTAAAAATTTATTTATTTACTTTCATCCCAATATCAGCCCCCTCTCCTCCCAGCACCCTCTCACATAGATCCTCCCACTCATTCCTTCCTTTCTCCTTTGCACAGGGGGAGCCCCCCCTAGGTGTTACCTCCCTCCACATCACTACCACCTTCCACATCAAGTTGTTACAGGACTAGGTGCATCCTCTCCCACTGAATGTAGCCTAGGCTGACCATTCTGGGGAATGGGATCCATAGGCAACAGGCAACAGACTCAGGGATAGCCCCTGCTCCAGTTGAAGACCAAGCTTCTCATATGTTACATATATGCAGGAGGGCTTAGGTCTTGAGGCTAGACCTTTCATTTCAAACACCACAAGCTTTGGCCTGCTTCTGTAAGAATCACAGGACCATCTCTGGATGGTCCAGGCAGAATCAGAAATCCCTGCTTTAGATTCTTCAAGATGGCTTAGCAGGTAAAGATGCTTTCTGTCAAGCCTAACAGTTTGAGTTTAGTCTCCAACACCCAAAGGGTGGAAGGAAAGAACTAACCCCTGAAAATTGTTCTTTGACCTCTAGATGTGTATCGTGGGACACACACACACACACACACACACACACACTGCCATTGCTATAACTCCTGTTTCTTTGTTGGGGTCAAGTTTCTCATGTCACCTGTCCACATACCACTTCTGAGGTCTACCAGATGCCTCCTCTTCTGAAGCCCCCTAGGATCTGCTCAAAAGTTCTGGTACTGATTTCCAACAATCAACTATTTATTCCTGGGGTCTAGAGCTTCACCATGCAGGGAGGGAGAGGGCAGCAGACTATCTCTGGCCTCCACAGTGAAACCTGACCCTCTCTGTGAATATATCTAATCTACTGATAACCTAGTCCAGACAGCCTTACACTCCATTGGCCCCCAAAAGGATCTGGGGCCTGATTACTATCTGGTGGTCAGTTGGAAAAGACAAAGGGGCTAATTTAGGGACCAATTTAAACTTTACAGAAATTTCTTGTGTTTCAAATGTGTGCTGTAAGCCAGACCTGACCATGGGAGGCCAGGAGTGAGGACAGCAGACCTAGGCTAGGTGTTCAGTTTGGAAGGCTGGCCCTCTGTTAGCTCTAGCCTGCTAGGTTTTGAGGCAGCTGCAGAGTTAGCTTACATGTACAGCACGGTCTTAGCATGTGTGTGGTGCTATGTTCATCCAACTGGGAGACCAGTGGGGGTGGGGTTTTTTTCTGCTTGGGGTCCTCAGCCCAGTCTAGGCAAGTTAGGAGTCAGGACGTTGAAACCCTTCACTCCCAGATTGGCTCCAGGCTGACTGTGGGGAGAAGTCTATAGTCTACTTCTCCCCTTGGCCCCTCATACTCTTAAAAACTTCCTGAAGGTTGAAGGGGCTAAGTCAGGATCCAGATCTAAATGTAGAACAGACCTCTTCCCATGGTGAGCTTGCTGCCTCGACACAGACCCCAATGCAACAGGCCAGCTGACTATGACCCGAAGCCTCCAAAACAGTCAGCAAAAGCTTTCCTCTTTTTAAGATGTCTTTCTCGGGTATTTTATCACAGTAATGAAGAGCTAATGAGCATGGAAGTTTGTTGATCATTCAGAAAGAATATAAATCATCACTATTAACCAGTGTCATGTAAAACTCTTGGAAGGTACTACCTTTTGTTTCCATTGTTTGCTCCCTCCCTTCCCCCCCTCTCGCTTGAAGCACTTTTTTTTTCTGTATAGCCATGGCTGTCCTAGAACTTGCTCTAAAGATCAGGCTGACCTTCAAGTTCAGAGATCTGCCTGCCTCTGCCTTCTGAGTGCTGTGGTTAAAGATGTGAGCCACTACCACCACCACCACTATCACCACCACCACTACCACCACTATCACCAGGTTTTTTTGTTTTTTTAATGGGTAGCCCAGGCTGACCTAAAACTTGTGATCTCCTGCCTCTGCTTCCTTCAGCAAATCCTACTGATGTCCACTACCACAGTCAGCTGTACTGTGGGTGAAACATTTAAATCATACAGTAGTATTGACACAAAAACTGGTCTCCTATTCCTTCGCTGACCTAGCTTCACGGTGGCTTTTCAGTCTTATAATCCCAGAAGTAACCATTAACAGTTGTTAGCTCATCCTCCCGAGTCTTTCTCCTGTGATCATCCAGGCATACCCCTCTGACCAGTACTCATGTGAAAAGTAACACAGTGACTGAACTCACTGTTTCTGATACATTGTAGCCATTTTCCCCTGCTGATGGTTTCTTCTACCCTCTGTGTTTCACCTTTACCACAGGATTTCTTAGCTCAGCCTCTTACCTACTCCTTTCACTTTTCTGTCCCATTTCTTCACCTTTTTTTCCTCCTGTCTTTACTCTGTCATATTAAGACCAGCCAGGTGAAAGCGCACAACAGGAGCCTACTCAGCCCTGAACAAACTGCCAATGGTTAGAGTAAATGCCAGCCATGGCACTGGTTTCTATCCCCCTGCCATACGTCAGGTGCTCTTGCCCTTGACTTTACAATGTCTGGGGCCCATCCCTCTCCCCCTTTACCCATTCAGCTTCTCCATCAGCATGGGACAGATGTTGTTGCTGCTGTCCTTGATTTCCATCAGCAGTATAAGGTCACAGCGTTTGATGATCTGTAGAGAGACAATTCTCAGGGTTTGAGGCTGTTTACTGTAAATAACCAAACTTTTCACCAGACACTTGCTGTAAGAGGACTAAGCTCAGAGCCAGACTGATTCCATGACAGGCTGCAAACTGACAGTTTGGGAGACTAGGCCTAAGTTTCTGTTTCCCAGAAATAAGAACCTGGATCCAGGAACCAGCGCTCAGCCAACCACAGCCGTAGGCAACCAATCCAAGGACACCTTGTCATCTGGCCTGAAGTAAGAATAGGTAGTTAGAATGAATAAGCAGCCCCTCAGGGAGGTCTTCAGAGCCTAACCAATTATAGAATTAGTCAGACCCCTAGAGATAGAGCTGACCAATCAAGGTGAAAGGGCACATACCCCTCACTGGAATTCCCTTAACTGACCATAAAAAGCTGGACCTTCGAGCCCACTAGGGGTCTCCATTCTCAAATGGGGAGAACCCTGCATGCAGGAAATTCATTGGAATAAATGCTCATTGCCTTTGCATACTGTTTGAGTTTAGCGTATCATTCTCCCATGATCTTGGGCCCTAACAGCTGGGCTTCAAGCACCACAGTCAGGTGGTTGCTAACATAGCTTAGTCTCTTCCTGAACTAAAAAAAAGGGCTTCCTGAGAGCAGTGCCTTCCTTGTGGTTGTGTCTCTTAGCGTTTTGTTGATGTTTGCCATTGTTTTGAGATGCTGTCTTATTGTTTAGGCTGGTCCCAGACCCTAGTGCTGAAGGGATCCTCCTGCCTTAGACCTGAGTAGCTGGGATTGCAGGGTGCATCATGTGCCCAATGGTTTGGTTGTTGCTGTTCTTTAATTTATTTTCTGTCCATTATAATTTGAAAAAATTAATTTCTTTAATTAACTCTTTGAGGCAGAGTCTCAGGCTGGCCTAAAACTTGAAGATCTGCCTGCCTCTGCCTCCAGAGTGCAGGGATTAAGGGTGTGCACTACCACAGCAGGCTGGTGTTTCTGTTTTAAAGATGAGGTGACTGAAGATTGGATAAGAATAAGTACATTATCCAGTCTTGCAGCTAGAAAATAGACACAGCAGCCCCTGAATCTAAGCAACTGAGTCCAGAGCCCTAACTGTGACCCTCCCCCGGATCTACAGCTTGAGTCTGCGTCTGTGGTTACAGCAGTGGTGATAGCAATAAGTAGCTGCTGAGTCTTTAATGAGTAAAGGTTCTGGGCTGGCTCTTGCAGATATCAGGAGGCCTGATTACAATGATAACAATTCTAAGAGCTAATATTTATCCTGAACCTACTTCACAGCAACACTAAGAGAGGGATATGGTGGTTAGCCCATTCAATCTAGATGGCAACTAAACTCGAAGTAGTTATGAAATTTTCCTGAAGTCACACAGCCAGTACAACTGGGAGAGCCAGGATTCTAGAGCATCTCCAGTCACATCTGCAGCAGGGTGGAGTCCAGGTTCCAGAGACCAGGGATGCAGTCTTCAGGGAGCTGAGGACTAACATCCAGCTGCTCAGGAAGCCTGGATTCTAGCTTAAACCCACAGCATTGGGCACACAGGACTCAGTAGCAGCCTTGTGCTCAAGCTAGCCTGTGGGTTAGTCATTGGATACTACCACACCCTTCTAGAAATGACTGCGAAATGTACATATTCAGTGTGTGTAATGGCACACACCTGTAATCCCAGCACTGAAAGGCAGAGGCAAGCAGGTCTGTGTGTCTGAGGCCAGCCTCATAGTGGCATAGTCTGAGGTCAGGGCTACCTAGTGAGGCCCTGCCTCAACACACAAAGACAAACGAATGCACACACTCTTTGATTCAGTTTTTTCTATTTTGACCCTTCACAATGATAAGATAGACAGAGTGAGAGTTTGGGGCAGCACCAGGCATGCAGGTGGCCGGAAGTAGATTACCAGGCCAGAAGTACTTTCAACTTCTTGCTTAATATTACTACATAGACATGTGTGTGTATGTGTGTGTGTGTGTGTGTGTGTGTTAAGTACCTGTGTTGAGGCTCTACATATTCCTATATATGTGAGAACATGTGGAGATTAGCGGTCAACCTCAGGAGCCTTCCATCTTGTTTTCTGAGGCAAGGTCTCTCATTAGACCATTATGCTAAGTGAATACACAACAAGCCCCAGCAATCCTACCTCCTCAGCACTGGGGTTACAAGCATGCACCATCACACCTGGCTTGCTCACAGAGGCCCTGGGGGACCAAAGTCAGCTCCTCATGCTGGGACAGCAAACAGCTTACTAACTAAACATCTGCCCAGCCATGTCTTTCTTTATCACCGAGAAAGCCAATGTGTTGAGTGGTAAAGGAACTTTGCAGGCTTTCACAACTAGTTAGGAAGAGCCAGGGTCAATACTGACTGCATAAGCTAGGATGTCCCTCCTGCTCTTCCACACAAGACAGACATCATTAGAGGCAAAGTTGTCCATATTTGGTCATCACTGTGCTCTTCTCAGGCATGGTTAGAGCATGAGGAAGGTTGCCTTCCTCCTCTCGTTTTTCCCCTATCCAACCATTTGTAGTTGAAAGGATACTGAGCCCACCCTGGGCGTGTCTCCTGTGTTTCTCAGCCTGCATCCTCTCAAACAGTGTTTCTGCATCCATTACATCATCTCCGAAGGGAAAGCCTGACACTCTAAGGCACTGGGATTGGTTTAAGGGAAGCTTGTCACCCTTCCTAAGCCTTATATAATACATGATAATTATTGTTTCTGCAGTGCTATGTGCTGAGTTCTTAACTCTGAGGTAGACTCAGGGTTCAGCCTTGCAATCATTGTGTTTTTAAGCCCATTCTACAGATGGGACAGCTGTGGCTCAGAGAGTAAGCCACTCAATGCAGGGAAGAATCTAAGTGGTAGGGAAGTGGATTGAACTCCGGGTCTTCCCCATTATGTTACGCTGTTCCCTGCTTAAAGACATCAGGTAGAGCTTTACCTGATCTCTACCCAAGATCTCTCTAGACCTCTCCAGACTGTTCCTTCCCTCTCCCTCAGAGCACACATGACACCCTTATCTGGATTCCATCCATACTAACCATACAAGTCCTTCACAATTCTATCCCTTGGAAGTTTTGACAGCATAATAGTTGGCACAACTACCATCCAGGCTCTGGTAACCTTCTGTGCAGGCAGGAATTTGGCATCGGCCAAATCTTAAAGGGTCCAGAGCTTGGTTCTGAAAGGGCTCCTAGGAGTCTCTTCCTAAGTAGTAGGAAACAGAAGAAACATGGCTTTTCCCTGGGACCATGCCCTTTTGAGAATTCAGACAACAGGATCTTGCAGATCCTTGTCTAAGGAAAACTTCCCAGAGATATAGCAAGGAAACTAGACACCAGTATCAGCTGGAGAAGCAGGGTTCAGACATGCTTGGTAAGCAAGGGACGGGGATGTCAACAGGAAATATGCTGTGCTCTCTCAGGAAAGAGAATCTGAGCCCATGGCTTGCACTTGCTTTATGCCAGTGGGTCATCTGAGAGCGGGACCTTGGCCTTTGGCATGCTGATCTCCTTGGCTGTGTAGTGGCCAGGAAGGGGGTCTGTAGTACAGAAAGCTCACTCCTCACACTCTCTTGCTGTTCAGCTCACTCACTAATGCTCACTGAACCTTAGAGACACCAGCTATACAGAGGCTATGGGGGCTGCGAAGAGACTACAGCAGCAGATGGGACTCAGGTGGTAGGATTCTTGCCTGTTGTACACCAGTCTCCAGCACAAACCAGGGGATAGCACATGCCTTTAATCCCAGCACTCAGGAGGTAAAGTCAGGGGGATTAGAAGTTCAGGTCACCCTTGGTTACACAGGGAGTTTGACCAGCATAGGCTTCATAAGAAATACCGATAATATTCTTCTAAGCCATAACTTCTTGTTTTACTTTTTGTTTTGTTTTGGGTTGTATTGGGGGGGAGGGTTTTTTTTTTCTTCTACAAGACAGGATTTCTCTATGTAGCCCTGGCTGTCCTGAAACTCTGTAGACCAGGCTGGCCTCAAATGCATAGAAATCTACCTGCCTCTGCCTCCCAAGTGCTGGGAGGCTGGGAGCAAAGGCGTGTGCCACCTGCCCTGCCTAAACCATAACTACTAGTGTTATATAATGCCTTTTCACGGTCCATTTATACCTCTAAACTGAATGCTTTCCTACTTAGGTTGTTTGCATTCTTTTGGTGGCAAATGTGACTTTCTCCTTGATCCATGCAAGCACTAATATTCCAATTGAGAACCAGGAGAGGTCAGCTGCCAGTGTTCTGTCAGATGGCTCTGAGAGTTTTGGAGAGATTGGCTTCTGTATACAGAATGACTTTCTGAGGACAGGAATGAAATCTTGACAAAGACTTTAAGCAGACCTGGTGGGACTCATAGCTCTGGGGACAAGCTGTGTGGAGGAATGGAATCACCAGAGAACAAAAACACAGCCCCCAAGAGTGTGGCAAGCTTTCCAGGGTTGAATCAGTCAAGAATGTGGATAGGCACTTAGGTCCCCAGGGCTCCCCTGGGCCACGTGTGAAGAGGTTGGGAAATAGTTTCCTTGCATGTCAGGTTTCTCCATTAAGCCGTGGCATCAGAGTTGCCACTGGCTCGGCACAGCTGTCCCAGTAAAAACATATCTAGAGGTGCTTAGCTATCATCTAAAGGGCAGAGTCACCTGGGGCCCAGGGCCATCTTGGCAGTAACACATCAGGTCTTCTGTCTGTATTCTCTATCCAACAGTAGCACGACACTGGCCTCAGCTCTGCTCAAGTGGGCTTCACTGACTACTCTTACCAGCCACTCAGGTGGCAGAGCCCACTTTATATAAAATATCAGGAAGAGAGGGGACCTTGAGCTCCCTCAGCTGGTAGATGGGGTCTGAACCCAGGGCTGCTGGCATTTTCACCATATACTGGGACCTCTGGTGCTTCTGCTGTTACCGGTGATGGTGGTGATGGTGGTGGTGGTGATGGTGGTATGTGTATGTGGTATGCTGTGCTGAGATGGGGTCTCATGTAGACCAGGCTGACCTTTAATCTTCTGTATAGCCAACCTTGAACTTCGGACCTTCCTACCTCTAGCTCCCTAGTGCTGAGACTGCAGGTGAGTGCAGTGCTAAGGATGGAACTCTGGACTCACAAACATTAAGCAAGCATCCTACCAACTGAAGTAAATCCTAATCCCACTCTGTTTTGTTTGTTTTTAAATAATAGCCACAGCACAGAGGCCCAGCATCAGAACCCATGGAACAGAGAGTCAGTTGAACAGAGAACTGTAAGCAGCTTTCCCAGACATTGGTCATATTGCCCAAGGACCATAATATTCATAAGCAGACAAAGAGCAGAACAGAGAGTTGGGGGACTAATGGGGGAGAGGGATAAAGGGGTGAAAGGAGAGAGACACGGAGGGAAGAAGGAAGAGGGAGAGAGAGAGAGGGAGAGGGAGAGGGAGAGGGAGAGGGAGAGGGAGAGGGAGAGAGAGAGAGAGAGAGAGAGAGAGAGAGCCTGGCTCTCACGCTTCACCAAGATTATGAAGAGGAGGCAGGCAGGGCTGCACCAGCTCCCTCCCCTCCACGCCCTGGAGCTCCCCTGCACCTTGTCACCCTTCTGAGTTCTTCAATAGCCCTTGCTCGTGAGATTGACAAATGAGACCATGTATTTACCGGGACTGACACAGACATTCAGTACGTTCAGTTAAAACCGTCAGAACAGCAGCCGGTACCTGGGACTGACTGCCAGCCGGACTTTGGCGAGAACATCACAATTACCTGCTCAAGTAAACTTGCTCAAGTAAACCCTCAAAGGAAGGACAGGCCCACCCAGTCTGAAGATGGAACAGAAAACACCAGGAGCTGAGGTGGGTGTCGTGATCGTGGTTAATTGTCCTATTAAGCCAGCAGTTTGTCCTTACCTCCCCCCTACCCCTGCCACGAGGGTAACATCAGATCCCTTGAGTCTGCAGCTGGGAGAAGGTTCAAGGGGTGTCCAGGACTGAACAAGACTCACCTTCACAATGATATCCATGGCTTCATGGTTTGCCTTCTTGCTCTCTCCAAAGGACCGCACATTGAAGGAGCAAAGTCTCAGGGTCAGGGCACCATGGAGGGCAAGGATGAAGACCAGCAGGGAGGCCAGGCGTGGAGAAGCTGGGTGCAGGGACATCTTTGCACTCCTGCAACTTCAGGCTGGATGAACACAAGGTCTGGCTCAGTGACTTATAAAGCCAGCTGATAACAGGAATTACAGGATCCCTCTCGGCCACTTTCACTTCTCGGAGGAACTCACCATCAGGCTCGTTTCAATCCCCAAGGAAAGGAAGACAATGGGTTAACCCTTAGAGAATCCTCTGGTTTCCTTGTTCTTGTCAGGGAAAGGACTGAATTTATGCATCAGCCTCTTTAAAAGCCACTCATAATCTCAGTGGCAGGGGTGGGGTGGGTCAGTCCTGATCTCTGGGCGTGTCTCCTGTGAGAGCCATGGGCCTTTTCCTGGTAGTTGATGAGCTCGAAGTGTCCACACAGAAGGAGCTAGACTGGTGGAGCCACCTGCTGGGGGACAACGATTCGGTGAACAATTGCCACTGGACACATCTGTGCAGTGTCTTTTTAGCCATCTCCATGGGTGCATAAGATCAGGTTTAGTTTGAATTCAGTGAAACAAAGGATACCTTGGGATCTGAGGAAAGCAAGGGAGAAATCCCAGGAGCAAAAGTGTCACAGACTGAGGCCCTCAGAGGCAGCAGAGATAAAGAGCTTGCAGGAAAGAACCCCAGGATGGGCAGGGATGGGCCGGGTGGCCCAAACAGGTGTTTCCAGTGGCTGACGCTGCCATGTGCAGCAGCGAGTGAGTAGCCAGACAGCAATCCTACAGTGTGACATGACTGTGTCATCACATAGCATCACACCAGCAGCTTCAGGTTTGCGGCGAGGAGGGAGCACAATTTAAGATTGTGTAACTCTAGCAAAAGTCACCTGTGTAAACTGAAGCACAGAGGGTGGGGGAGCCACACCCACGTTACAGCTTCTACAAAGCTGATTAACTAATACAACCACTGTGACTGCAGGGTCAAATTATCTTGTAGCAGTCTTCAGCGCCCTTTAAAGGCCATCCATTGCCAACACCTGTGCTTGACCTAACATCCTGTGACAGTCAGGTAAACCCCTGTTGGAATACACGAGCAGAACCCTAGCTCCCACTAACCCAGAATCCAAGAATGTCATCAGGTAGCAACTAAAGCCATTCACATGATTTTCTGCTTTGCTGAGGCCACCTACCTGGTATTCCCACCAATGTTTTGTTTTGTTTTGTTCCTATAAAAACATCCTGAAACTGGCTCAGAGGTTAAGAGCACTAAATGATCTTTCAGAAGATGCCGGTTCAATTCTCAGTACCCACATGGCCGTTCATCATGATCTGTAACTCCAGCTCTAGGGGTTCTGACACCCTCTTCTGGCCTCCACAAACACCAGACATGCACACAGTGCACAGACATCCATGCAGACAAAACACCCATACACATAAACAAACAAACAGAACCCATCATTCATATCTGACCCTCTACTTCCCTTATTCTCTCGTGGTGAGAGCTGTGTTTTTGCAGACCCCCTTGTACTGGCAATAGACTCTCGGTTTCAGCCCCACATGACAGCCCTACATAGGGCTGTACTTGCACTTGAAGAGAATCACCGTAAGGGGAAGCCCATGTATCATGACTCTAAAATTCTTTGAAATTTCTTTCTTTCTTCTCTTTTTCTGAAACAGGACCTCTAGCTCAGGCTGACCTCTAACTTCTGATGTAGCCAAAGATAACTTCTGATTGAACTTCTGATTCTCCTGCCTTCACCTCCTGAGAGCCATTGCTCCCCATTCTTGTGCTTTGGGAGGTCAAACCCAGGGCCTCTGTGTGCTAGGCAAGCATCCAACTGAGTGAACCACTTTTCCATCCCTTTAAAGGCTCTTGTTTGACAGAACAGCCATATTCCTTGGTAGGGCCTCTAACCCCACATGCTCTAGGTCACACACACTTCATCTCCTACTACCTCCCTCTCACCCCTCCACCCTCAGAGCTCCTCCTTACTCCTGCTGCCAGCCAGGTGTAATCGCACACTTTGAAAATGCTTGTGTTTCTCTTCTCTTTCACGGTGTTCAGGTCCTGTGCTTTGTTCTAGGTATTGCGGTGTATTATCACATATGAGCTTCGTGCTTCCTCATCTAATGTTTGCCTTCTCAACAGCTCTTTGTAGGGCCAGATGTCATGTGTTTGCATGTGTGCATGGAACAGGTGCTCAATAAATCACTGTTGAATATATAACATGGTTCTCAGCTGACTCCCCGAAGCCCAGGTTCTCCAATGATAGTATGTATGGGTCCTGAGCCAGGGAACTCAGTTTCACTGACAAACAGAGGAACTCCCTTTGTTTTTTGTCTAGCTACACAGACAAAGCCAAACAATAGCAATGACCACTGGGGCACTCGGGACTAACTCTGGCCGACTTTTGAGGTCTTGCTGAATTTTGCATTACAACTGTATCACTCACCACCTCCAACCTGTCCACCCACCCCTAAGTCAAGAGCCTCTTGTGTTAGAGGATTAGTTCCCCAACAAGGGCTACTAATTGGTGGCACCTTTAAAAGGTGGAGTCTAATGGAAGGTTTGGGTCATCATGGGCATGCCCTGAAGGGAATTGTGGAACAGCAGTCATTTTTATTGTCTCCCCCAACCCCTATGGAGCTCCTTGCTCCGATATATGTCCTTGCTATGAAATATTTGCCCTTCACAGGCCACAAATAAACACAACCTACAGATCATGGGCTTGACCTGCAAAACAGAGCCAGAAGAAACGGCTTCTCTACATAAACTGATTACCGTGGGTGTTGTAATGAAGAGAAGCTAACTAACACAGGGCCAGGTAACTCTTTATTGTGGGTCTGTACGGCGCATTGTAGGGTGTCTAGCAGCCTCCTGGATGCTTCCAGAGAGGTGCTAGTATCTACATTGTAACAATTAAGGCCATGTTCAGGCTAAAGGTAATTCCAGGAGTGGAGGGAATCAGTCTAGTTGAGAATGTTGGTGTGGAGGTTAGAGCAAGTGTACTTCCAGTTACTGGCTGTTCAACCACACACAAATAACTAAACTTCTCTGTGCCCATTCCCTCACCTTTAACATGGGCAAAAATTGTTCCCATATAGTAGAGCTGTGAAAGTTAGTTCTTAACTACAAAGCTAACTCGACACAGTGCCTAGCCCTTCATCTGTGTAAACAGAATATCACTATCTGTGAACTGGAGAGCCGGCCCAGTGGCTAAGAGGACTTGCTACTGAACCATGGATTTGACTTGGGAGCCCAGCACCCAAATAATAACTTAGGTGTGGCTTCATACACATCTACAACCCCACAGTTGTGAGGGATGGAGACGGGGACTTGTTGGCTGCCAGTCTAGCCAAAAAATGTGAACACTCCAGGCTCAGCAAGAGCCTCTGTCTCAAAGGAGTGAGGTGAGGAGTGGTCAAGGCAGACACTGGACCACACTCATCTCATATGCAACACACACACACACAATTAGAGAAGCCTATTCTAAAAAATCATAGGAAAAGCATTGTTGTTTGCATTTTACAGATGAAGAAATAGAAAGCCGGATACAAGACATTGCATTGAGCCCAGCCATTGGTCACGGTATGACATCAAAGGCATTCATTTTCTTTCTCAAAACGAATTCTCTTGGCTAATTCTTTGTTTCTAGGTACAAAAAGACTCGTATAACTTCAGACCTTGCCTGGCCAGTCAGTGAGTCGGAGCTGGTGATGTTGCAATGCATAGATTATTAGATCTGCCAGGCTGGGCTAGGGAGAGGCCAAAGAGATGCTGGTTTGGGGCACAAATTTCAAGGTAGTGCCAAACAAATAATAATCAAGGTAATTTCATTACATATTTTGTAAAACTCAAAATTTATTTAAAAAAAAAAAAACTGTTCGGGCGGTGGTGGCACACGCTTTTAATCCCAGCACTTGGGAGGCAGAGGCAGGCAGATTTCTGAGTTCGAGGCCAGCCTGGTTTACAGAGTGAGTTCTAGGACAGCCAGGACTTCACAGAGAAACCCTGTCTCGAAAAAACCAAACCAAACCAAACAAAACAAAACAAAAAACAAAAAAACAGCTTTTCCGCCCGCTCCCCCCTCCCCCCGAGCGCCGCTCCGGCTGCACCGCGCTCTCTCTGCGCTGTCAGGCTAGCGTCGCTGTCCTCAGCCGTCACCATGATCATCTACCGGGACCTCATCAGCCATGACGAGCTGTTCTCCGACATCTACAAGATCCGGGAGATCGCGGACGGGCTGTGCCTGGAGGTGGAGGGCAAGATGGTCAGTAGAACAGAGGGTGCCATCGATGACTCGCTCATTGGTGGAAATGCTTCCGCTGAAGGTCCGGAGGGCGAAGGCACTGAAAGCACAGTAGTCACCGGTGTTGACATTGTCATGAACCATCACTTACAAGAAACCAGCTTCACAAAAGAGGCCTACAAAAAGTACATCAAAGACTACATGAAATCACTCAAGGGCAAACTTGAAGAACAGAAACCAGAAAGAGTAAAGCCTTTTATGACTGGAGCTGCAGAGCAAATTAAGCACATCCTTGCTAATTTCAATAACTACCAGTTTTTTATTGGTGAGAACATGAATCCAGATGGTATGGTTGCTCTCCTGGACTACCGTGAAGATGGTGTGACTCCATTCATGATTTTCTTTAAGGATGGCTTAGAGATGGAAAAATGTTAACAAATTGGATCTATCCCCTGTCACCGTAATTGGCTGCTGCTTACCATCCAGACAACTCCAGGACTTAGGATAAATGGGACTGATGTCATCTTGAGCTTTTATTTTGACCGTGATTTATTTGGAGTGGAGGCATTGTTTTTTAAGAGAAAAACATGTCATGTGGGTTGTCTAAAAAATAAAGTGCATTTAAATTCAAAAAAAAAAAAAAAACAACCTGTGAACAGAGTGTCGATATCTTAAATAAGGACACAAATAGGGCTTTGCTTTGTCATGACTCTATCTCCTTCATTTCACATTAATTCTGCCTCTGGCATTTCATTCTGGAGTCAAAGCTCAGCGTTGCCCCTTCAGGGTGGACACCAATGGAAGCAGCACCCTCTTCTGGCAGGTGGAAGCACAATTTCTCGGCTGGTGAGCCGGTTGTGCCTTCGTGTCTGCAGAGCTCAGTGCTAAACACTGTCCCTCAGATTTCCATCATACAATAAAAGAGCGCAGTCGGCCAAACGATACCATCGCAGCCCTTTCCTCAGTTCTTCCTTCTGGCAGCGCCGTCCATTGCTCCCCTGTCACGGCTTTCCTTGCAAACAAGCAGGGCAGGGCTTCTGGCGATACTAAAGCACCTTGTTGGCACCAAGCTGACCTTCCC